ATAGAAAGGTAGGACCAGGTTGCAGAGAACTTTGAAAATGAAGGAGGGGCTTTTAGAGTTGATACGGTAACTAATAGGAACAGGCTACCCTGGACTGTGGAGCATCTGCACTGAAAGCCATCACTCAGATTGTAATGATGCCTATTTGCCTAGTACTTTTAGTTTCTCCTAAGTTCCATAACTGCCTTTCCCACTTCATTTTTATCTTCACAACTGTATGCAGCAGATAGGGTGTCACCTCACTGAAGATCTGATTTACTGAAATCAGTAACTCTTACTGAGGGCCCCTTCCAGCAGATTTTTCCTTTAAGACTTGAATGCTACACCAGTTCAATCTGCATAAAGTAGAAGACTAACCCAGTGATTTCCAACTGTTCACATCACCACGCACCAATTTTGCCTTATATGCATTTTCTAACCTCCAGGGTTTAATGTCATGTGTACACATAACATATATAGTCCATGTATGACATATATATGTCTATGCATGTAGATATAGATGTATATATGTTTTTGTGTTTCTTTAATGAATGAGTCATTAAAACTTATTAAAATTGGCAACAATGTCTCACTTTGGGCAACATTATTTCAATTACATTTCTGAACTTAGATAAAACTATGGTTTTAAAAATTAAAGTTGGGATTTTTATTATTTTATTGCAGAGGAAGAATCTGTGTCACTTTCATAAGCATAATTTCTCCCACTTAAACCTTAAATATGTTACAATCCTTTATCATTCCATCCACAGTCCAGCTGAACTGACTTGACAGCTTGGAAGGTCTAACATACTCGTCCTCTTTTAACGACTGCTGAGCTATTTACCTTCACGGCAGTGTACCAAACTGGTTAGGACCAAAGGCTCCTAAGCCTACTAACATATTAAGAGATTAATAGTTATGTGACCTTGGGAAGTTAGTTATGCGAACTTTCCGTGACTCAGTTCCCTCATCTGTAAAACAGGGCTCCTGAACAGTACCTACCTCATAAGGTTATTAACTCAGTGAGTGAATGCAAGTCAGAAAGTGAATGACACATGGTAAGCATTCAATAAATGTTAGTTACTAAGAGGAACAAAGTGCACTTAAAGATTTTTTTAGTTAACAGAACTGAACTATAATATGTTGTACTTTTCAAACAGTAATACTGTTTCTAACTAAACCAAATTATTCTTATGTTTACGAGAAATATCTTTGCAAAACATGTTTTTTAGGTTGCTAATATATTATTTTTATTGCCAATCATCCAAAATGGGTATTTTTTAAAAGACTGATTTCTACTTACAGATTTAGAAGGTGGAAGATTTGGGCAATTATTCTTGGTTTTTAGATAAGGCCTACAAAAGACAAAACAAGATTAATTCTTAGTACAGAAGAATCAGCAAGGCTTGTGAAGTATAGTGATTACAAATTATGATGATTAGAATTTTAAATCACTAGAATTTCCATATATGGTAAAACAATTCAAAAATTATAATCCATAAAGTCTCCTTATCCTCCCTTCCTTCCTATTATTCTGCTCCTCAGTGACCACAACCAACCTCACCCGTTTTTTTGTGATTCTTTCTGAGATGTCCTATGTATAAATATTACATTCTAACAATATTAATGAAATATGTGTCTCCTCATCTGCATAGTCTTACTCATTCAAACATTGTTCCCTGAACGCTGCAAATGTGCCAGGCACTGGAGATTCAATGCCAAATGAGATAATTAACTGCTTCTTTAAAAAACTTGCTTGTTTTTTCTATGCTTGTGAGTCTGTTTTGTCAATAAATTCATTTGTATTAAATCAGCTGTGCTTTAATAAAAAATTTTTTAAAAAATGTATCCTCAAAGAGTGAATTTTCAGCAGGGGAAAGTGATATAATTAAAAAATACTGGGTCACAAATGAAATCTAGTTATGAGACAGAAAACGCAAAAAAAAAAACTAGAAAAATAGAGAATTTAGAAAGATACAATCTTCATGGATCATAAACAACTGGGACTAACAGGGACTTTGATCACGACCTGATGTTTGTTTCTCTCATCTTGAATATAAGTCCTGGAAGGGCAAGGACATCTGTCTTGTTAAGCACCATATGTCTAGAACCAAGAGTGACTGATACATTATAGATATTAAATAAATATTTGTTGAATAAATGAATCAGGTGTATTTAATTGAAGAAATAAAGTCGAGTAAAAACCCAAAGTGAGAAGAAACTAAAATAAAAAAAGGGTGAAAGCTAACTCTGTAAATATTCATTTTCCAAATACAAATTTAGAAACATGTTGGGGAGAAAAGATATCAATGTGAAGGTAAGGGAGATAAATAATAGCATTGAGATGATAAGATGTTGGCAAGAGATAAAAGCGAAGCAGGCACATGCTGTTCACCTCGAGTAAGTGCTGAGAAAATGACCAAAGAGCTGGAGGATGTGGGTGTGCAGCTGTGGAGGGTCGACTGACAGTGGCTCTTCTGCTTTACAAAGAAGCACCAGAACCAGGGCCATTCAACTCCTTGGTCAAACAATGCCTTCCCAAGAATCATCCTCCGAGGAGACAAAGCAGGGACAGGAAAAGCTTCCAGCACTCCAGGTAATACTGTAGACCCTCCCCTCCTGCCTTCGGAGATTGTCACAATAATAATGCTTAAATCTTTGCCAATGTTTTTTGTCCTGCCTGCATGGAAATGCCCTTTCTGCACAATCACAGGATCCCAATGCTGCCTGAGTAGACAGCAAACGAAAGCTCTATGTTTTGAAAAAGCTTTAAATTACTATTAGCTATCAGGGCAACAGAACTTGCATAACTGTGGGAGAAGAACTCACTTGGTGTTTTGGCACTTCAGCTTTCCCTTGGCTGCTAGGTACTCCTGCAGCTTTCTCTGCCGCTCTTCTGCAAAACAGGCAAGCAAACACATGACAGAACTTCAGCTAGAGATTTTAACCAGCTCATTTACAGTCTAAAAGATG